ACGTACAGAACACACTTCCAAAGATCTTACATTTTTCGTGCAGTACACAGGATTCTACTAAGATTTAGAATAGCTTTATATTTTATTCAACAAAATTTAGTTTTATTAAGAAAAATGAAGGATGTTCGATTTAAAAGTTACATAAAAGCGTTTCATGTCAATGTAAATACACGGTAAAAGGTAATTTTTTAGTAAAAATGGTTTTTAAGACCGTTAAAATGGTTTGTATTTAGAAATGAATAAATTAAAATCTGCTCCTTTTCATTTTAAGCATTCCATTCTATCAAATCTTTTCACCTCACAAAACTGCCTCCATTATAACGCTTCTAAATAACTTCATCGGTACACAATATTGGAGTTAACAAAAGTAAACGAGTTTCAGGCAAGGTCTAAGATGAATGATAAAGAAATATATGTATAATGATAGATAAGTTTAAATCAGCCAGATTATTGTTATAAAATCCTGTAAATCTCGTTTGAGTTATTGAGAATACATTTTGTAGGAGTGTCATGATTAATAAGACTTAAAAATAGAAGTTGATTGATTGATTAATTTTATGTTGTTTTAAGTCCCAAACGAGAACTTTACTCGACACTCTTGACCAATGAGCAGAGAGGGTTCTATATCATGCCAAAGCGTACTGTGACACGAGGCCTTGATTTTTAAGGTCTCATTCGAAGGACCCGCAACTTTCACTTCAAAGTTCCGAGCGCTTGGCGAAAGAACAGTTTCTACCTATTTTTTGTCGACTTAGGTCTGTAGCGGCCATGAATCGAACACATGACCTTCCGATCGATGCTCGACCAACTGAGTAATTCCAATAAAAATTCTAACAAATTCTAAAAATTCTATACTTAATGATTAGTACTTTGTTTTTGACAAATTACTTTGTACATTCAACAGTTAGAAAACATGATTATTCTAAAACAAAGTAAGAATGTTGTGTGGCCAAGGGATCTCATTGCTTTTCACTCTGTATTCCTGAAAAAAAACAAAACAAATTCAAAGAAATATGGTCTCCCTCTTTCAGTGTCTTAGCAGTCGGGATGCATTTATTTGTGGCATATTGTAACTTCTTGCTTGTGTGCCCTGTCTTATATGTCCATCATACAAGAGATATAAATTTTTGAATAAATAAAAGTTACGACAAAGAATACGGCTTCTCAGAACTTCACAAAAAATGAAGCACGTTGAATCGTGGAGGGATCTCATTGTTCCTGCAAAATGATGAACCATATGGTCAGAAGTGACGTCACAGATTTATTTTTACGTAGCAATTATCGTTAATGTGTAAATTTTGATTCATCTTTGCATTTGCTTTTCACTTTGACCAAAATGCACTCATCTGCACTAGTTCTTAGCTCTATTACGATAGGACAGCATCAGAGTTAGGTTAAGAACTTACGTGACATGTAACAAGATGATGGGATGACAAATTTCCAGACAGCAGGAAATCAGAAGGAGGACGCTTGTTTGTTATAAAACACGTCATTTTACGTGAATAGTAATTGCTATCGCCTCTTGTATTTCCTTTCACTTGTTTTCTTTTCTTTTTTGACATACATGTTGATAAAATCATTACTTTGTATTATTCTGTTATCTTTGGTGTCTGTAAATGATATTAAAGGTTATACAATGAAATAATTGCCATTTATACTATGTTGACGCAACTGGACGAGATATACCGACGGTACTACAGTGCCACCCTAATGCAACAAAAAATCAAAAAGCTAAGATGACCCAATATGAGGATGCTTTTGCGGGTTTTTTTTTTTTTTCTAAATTGTAAATGTACCACAAACACATGAATACAAGAAAATCATCATTATAATGAACAGCAAATGTGCAACGGTTTATGTGGACGAGTAAATTTGTGAACGGTGGTTAGTGTATAATGTACAACCTCGCAAAGCACCGATCATCCAAATTACATAAAGGCAACATCAAATCAGTTCAATCAATCATTGAATACACAGCAAATGCCATCAATGCTTGTGTGTAAATATACCCATGTGATTGCATTTTCCAAAAAAATGGAAATAAGTGCTGTTCGAATCAAGTTTGAGTGTTACAATCATTTCACCTGCAAGTTCAGTGAACCAATCAATGCAACAAAACCTTGGTGACAGCAGCACTACTCCTTCTCATATGGTCACAAAGGTTATTGCCTACATGTACCACTCATTAACTGAAGGTTATAGGGTAGACACAAAATAAAATATCCACTTGAGTCTGTCGCTCGCGTGAAACGGTAGAAATAGCATATTGTAACTGTCTTGATTGTGGTTTCCTGTTTTGTCTTTGCATCATACAAAAAAACATAACTTAGCAAATTAATAACAGTAATGGCAAAGACTAAAGCTTCTCAAAGCTGCATCAAACTTTAAGATCAAGGTCATGAAGACAAGTACCATCATACAACTCGAACGATTTTGTCACAAGTAATGCACATGTGAAAAAAAAAATATGAAAGCCTTCACTCGGCAAACCTCGGCTGATTCCGTCACCTTCATCAAACCTCGGCTGTACGAGGAAACTTGATATGCGTCTCCGCTTAACATTTGTGATAAGACTGCCTGTTACCGCTTAGGGAAAACGTAACGCTTTGAGAACGATTATAAACATGCATCTGACTTACGATAAAAATTTTCAAAAGCATTTAGGTAACACTAAGAATAACACTTACCAAGAAACAAGCACTTAGTATCTTTACATAATCACATGTTTGTTAACGAATCGAATTCAGCACATTGTGCACGTGTAATTATAGGGCGCAGCCATATTGTGTGTAAAGTAGCTCCGGTTCAATGGAGGTTAACGTGATACAGACGAGGTTAGATGAGGTACGATTCGGCCGAGGTTTGCCGAGTGGAGCGCCTTATCTCTTCTGGTGCAAAAACTATGGCTTGATTCAAAATTTTTGATAGTACATGTAAGTCAAAATTTTAGGTTAAGGTCATGAAGTCAAAAATCATATATCTTTCTAAAAAGTGTTGTCATAGTTAATGTGCCTGTAAAAATATGAAATCCCTATCTTCTCTCATTCAAAATTTATTATCAAATGAATGTTAATTCATTTTTGAAAATTAGGTCAGACTTCTAGGTCAAGGCTCTGGGGTCAAATATCATATCACAATCGGAAAGTTTTTGATGCAGGTAGGGCACTTGTCAAATATGAACACCCCATCATCTCTCATTCAAAGATTATCACCAATGTTAATATTTTTGAAAACCAGGTCAAACATGAAAGTTAAGGGCACGGGGTCAAAAATCATAGCATATTTGAAAACGTCTTGTCACAGGTAAAAGACAAGTCTTATATGAAAGCCCTTTCTTTTCTCATTCGAAAGTTCTAACAAAAGTTAATTTTTTTTAAAAAGTAGCTGAAGCGTCAAGGTCATGGGGTAAAAAGTCATAGTATGTATGTTTAGAAAGGTCTTTTTACAGGTAATGTACATGTGAAATATGAAAGCCCTATCTCTTCTCATTCAGATGTTATTGCCAAGGTTTAAAGTTTGTTATAATTTTTGAAAAGAAGGTCAAACTTCAAGGTTAATGACGCAAGGTCAAAAATCATAGTATATTAGGAAATGTCTAGTCACAGGTATTGTATATGTGATATATGAAAGCCCATTTTATTCTCATTCAAAAGTTATGGCCAAGGTTAAAGTTTTTGTGACAGACTGACAGACAGACTGACTGACTGACAGATAATTGAGATTTTATGTCTCCTCGCTTTTGAGAAAGCGGGGAACAATAAAATAGATGCACGTTTATACTCCAGCTTCTTTCGGATGCGGGAACTACATCAAAGGGAGATACCTGTAAAATAAGTTTAAGTAAAGAAAGGGGCCGACAACCAGAGGTACTATAAACCCAACAAAAATGTGATTTCAATATTTATAAGTGAATTTCCAAAGGCTAATAGATTTTGGATTTCAACATTAGGATTTTGATAACTGGATTTGATTTTGTAATTTTCCACTTAACAGTCATTGTAACTTGTGCTCAACTTGGCAGATTTTTATGGTACCGATTGAGATTGGTTGTTTTGACGATCTGGTGATCTGATGATTCATGCAGATGACGCTACATTTTTTCGTTGTCGGCGACAATATGCATCCACCCTCACTGCATATATTTTTGATTTTCTGCATATATTTTTGTCAATTGCAAAATTAATCATGTACATATTGTCTTCGGCAACGATATCCTCAAAAAAGTAATAAGGTTTATGATGACGATGATTTCAAAAATTCTATTTATAAATTTCAATAAGGTCTCATATTCACTAATAAAAGACGAACCAATGCTTTTCTGTATGCAAAGTTATTGTCTTTTAAACTCCAAGGAATCGGCTGCAATGAAAGTCAATATTTCATATATAACTGACACAGAGAAAAGGGTGAATAATGCAAATATCATGATAAAATAAATTCATAGAAAAGACCATATTCTCTCTCTCTTTTTCTCTCTCTTTCTCTCTCTCTCTTTGATTTGTATATTTTCTTTTACATTACCCGGGTAAATATATACCAGAAACTATTGTTTTTCATCTTCTTTTTAATCTTTCACTTCAAACGTAATTCCATGTCTTTTATTTTATTTTTTTTTTTTATGTATTTATTTATTTGTCACTGAAACAACTAAATCTGAACACCCGCTTTCCGAACCTGTTTGCTGATCATTCAAACATCATTGGTAGTCTAACCTATTTAATGTAGAAATGGAACACATACTTAAATTATTGGCTATCAATTAACCTAATATTTATTGAGAAAAAGCTGGTATAAACAGTTTATGTACATTATGAGGTATGGATTTTGAGCGAATAACTTAAAATCCGAGTGCGAAAAGAATATTCTGAACATCCGTGTCTGAGGTACGTCTGGAGTACATTGGACAATAAATATGGCATCCAATCATTAACGATGTATTATGCTTCTGTTTATTTCACAACACAGATTGTCCATCACGATTACTCATGGTCTCAAAAACATCCGGGACAAATCTCAGGCCTTAAATTTCATAATTTTAGTCGACATGACACTGAAATATCGACTGCGTTTACAGCTGCAGTTAAACTTTTCTGCTTTCATTTGTTGCTCTTTAGCAAAATCATTGAGTGATCGATTGAATTATAAAGGACTGCGCAAATGTGCTTCTAGCACCATTTTTGATCTCTATTGCTGAACGAAGCAATGCTGGGCATTGTCTGATTTAGACTAAAAAGGTAAGATTATTCTTTATTACATAATGAGCTTTTAATGTAAAAGAATTTTTTCTCTATGTATTAGCTCATGTTTAAATTTAATATATTTCATATGCCGCATTTATCTTTAATTTATAACTTTAATTCCTATTGTTTCATTATTGTAATATGTGTTTGTCTGTCATGTATACAAGACTAGAAATATTTAATAATTACTTCCATTCGAAACGTGTTCCAAATTTTTCTGCATTCAATTTGGAAAAAAGTTGCTCTAAAGCCTATTTTGTCACATGAAATTTGAAAGTCTAAATGAATTTTACATCTTCGTTTATGAAAGTGTAGAGCCAGGGCAAAGAAAATCTAACTTAATGATCCTTTAACACTTTGTCAGGTCTATCCTGCATAGTACATTCCTTGGAATTCTTACATCCTTGGAATTATCTTAAAACTCTGAAGTGTATAGTCTCGACATCAAAGCATACTCTTTGAATAAGAGGGTGGGAAATTTAACTTGGAAATATAAACCTTTCAGGAAATACAGTGTATATTGGATATTATAAGAGAGAGAAATGGAATTAATATTACAACTAGATGAAAGCAATCAAACTCAAAACGAAACAAAGACATGAGGTGAAAAACACAAGAGAGTCATTATAATACAACCCTTGATGCAAATTATACATGGTCCTCGGTACCCTAAAATTTAGCATAATTTTTTTACATGTAAGAATATGTTCTCGAGATCTAGCAGCTGCTAGGTAGCAGCTTTTATTAGTAATTCTATGAAGTTTTTGGAGATATATCAAAGTTTCCCTTTGGAAAAGGCTAGTTTTGGGGATTTCAATTTAAAGATCTATCAGAGTTTAATCAAATGTAAGATATTATGTTTGTTACTTCAAAATTTTGACCGTTTTGTTAAAAGTGAGCATGGTTAAAAAGAGGGGAGGGGCAATATAATTACACAGTAGATGCAGATGTTGTCCAAATTTAATGACATAAATACAACTATCTTCGTGCGCAGATATGATTAAATTACATTATTATTAATATTAAGCACCATTTTACCCATAAATGTAAAACTGACATCAATTGATCTGAAATTCATAACATTTATGGGAAGCTCTAGACTACTTGCTTTATGAGACTATAAATTTATCATTAAGTGGCCATTTTTGTACATGGTTGGAATTAAAGCTCCATATGATATGAAATTATCATTAATGAGCACAATGTTGTCCACTGGGCTAAAAATGTTTGCGCAAAGTGCGGTTTATACAATAACAAGTTATGAGTAAAAATACAAATGAGAAAAATATAGACAATGAAAAAAAGTGTTCTTTTTTACTTTCTTTAAGTTCAAAATGGATAAATCGATGTTTTAATTTCAATCAACGACTTAGAAACATAATGTAGATTATGGCTACTCGATGTTCCTTCTCTAACGTTCCATATTTTAAGATTCTGGTTGGGGTCTTGTTCGTTTCTGTTCTGAATTCAATTTAAAGTTAAGCAAGAGAATAATAGTGATGATTAATGATGGATAATGGCTAAATAAAGAAAAAATATCCCTGTTTATTCACCATAATTTGTAAACACTACTTCTATCAAGCAGATATTTGCAAATAAATTTGACATTGTGGCAAGGTCTCAGCAAGAACAGCAATTCGATTTAAAGCATGGCGTCAGTTTCTGATATGCCAAGGGAAAGGCTTAGCTTATAATTTTCACATTTATGATATCATCTTGGACCACGGTTACATGTCTAATGCACAATCACGCAACTCCAACACTTCATATTTGATGCATTGATATTGGGTTAACTTGATAGGGACTTGATAATTCCATGGGGGTGTTATTTGGAAACGTTTTGTGAGGTAGAAAAAAGCAAAATAATCTGTTGTATTTTTATACGAAACTGTTGATAAATCAATTCTTCAGCTGTGTTTCTGCCGCTGATTAGAAAAGGTTGTTTGAAATGTGATATAGCAATGACCTAATAGTATACATCAAATTTAACTTTTCAATAACTAACTACATGTATTCCAGTTTGAAAGCAAATCAACACATAAACGACCTTCACTATAATATTCGTATTTAAATGGTCAATTTGTCTCATTTCATACAAATTTGGCCGATCAACAATGACAAACTTTCAAAATGTCAATTTCCCTCAACTCAAACACCTGTTAAATGACTTTCATTCACTTCTTCGGTTGTCGCTCATGATAAAATGGCCTTGAATTCATTTTAAAAGCATCTTTGAGAGAGAGAGAGAGAGATTTAAGCAAACATATTTATATTTTGGAAGAAAAGATGTTTGTGTTATTCATTCTTAAGTTAAATATTTACATTTATGTCTTCTTATACTCATCAGGCTAACCGAAGCTGCTTTTGCTACGTATATTTAAAATGACTATAGAACACTTTCGTAGAAATGAGTAATGTCATTATTTCAAATGACGGTATCAGTGTTAACAATTTTACATACAAACAGGGAATCAGACTCCCACGTTCTGAATTTAAAAATATGAAAATGTCTAATACCCAAAAATGATTAAGAAAAAATAAATATAAAACAAGAAAATCAATTCGATGGCACAAACAAAAAAAAATTGGCCACGTACAAGATGTGATTTAACAAGATGTGTTTGTGAAACACTGATGCCCCCGTGTGGCAGCTTATGGCAAAGGTTAAAGTTTTTAAATGCAAGTCAAACTCCAGGTCAAGAGATTAAAAATGTTGGTACCCAAAGAAAGTCTGGTCTCGAGAAATATACCTGTGAAATATGAAAGCCCTAGAACCAACCGTTGAAAAGTTATGGTGAAGGTTAAAGTTTTTTCAAAGTATGTAAAAGGGCAAGGTCAAGGTAAAATGGTGCCCAACGGAAGGTCTCACAAGTGAGATACACATGATCCTGAAATGTGAAAGCCCTAGAACCAAACGTTCAAATGTAATGGTCAAGGTTAAAAATTTAAAAAAAAAAAAAAAAAAAAAGGTCAAACTCCAAAGTCAAGGTCAATGCCAAAATTGTTGGTATCCAAAGGAAGGTCTTGTCACAAGGAATATACATGTGAAGTATGAAAACCCTAACACCAATTGTTCTGAAGTATGTTTTGAAGTATGAAAACCTTAGAGCTAACTGTTCAAAGGTTATGGCCAATGTTAAAGTTTTTTTTTCAAAATTAAAGTTGGTCAAAGTCCAAGATCAAGGTCAAAAGGTAAAGTTGTTGGTATCCTAAGGAACGTCTTGCCACAAGGAATACACATGTGAAGTATGAAAGCCCTAGCACAAACTGTTCAAAAGTTATGGCCAAGGTTAAAGTTTTTTTTCAACAGTAGGGAAAACTCCAAGGTCATAAGGTCAAAGTTGTTGGTATCTAAAGGAAGGTCTTGTCACAAGGAATATGCACGAGAAGTACGAAAACCCTAACACTAACTGTTCAAAAGTTATGGCCAAAGTTAATTTTTTTCAAAAGTAGGTCAAACTCCAGGGTCAAGGTCAAAGGGTCAAAGATGTTGATATCCAAGGATAGTCTTGTCACAAGGAATACACATTTGAAGTATGAAAACCTTAGCGCTAACTGTTCAAAGGTTATGCCAAGGTTAAAGTTTTTTTTTTTCAAAATTAAAGTTGGTCAAAGTCCAAGGTCAAAAGGTCAAAGTTGTTGGTATCCTTAGGAACATCTTGTCACAAGGAATACACATGTTAAGTTTGAAAGCCCAAGCACCAACTGTTCAAAAGTTATAGGCAAGGTTAAAGTCTCATAAAATTTTTACAAAAGTGGGTCAAACTCCAAGGTCAATGTCAAATATGATGGTAAAGAACGGTCTTGTCAAAAGGAATACACATGTGAAATATGAAAGCTATAGCTCCCACCAATCAAAAGTTATGGGCAAAGTAAAAGTTTTTGCGGACAAACAGACAGACAGACAGACGGACGATCAAGGCAGAAACTATATGACCCCGAATCTTCGATTACGGGGGCATAAAAATCACATCCATGCCATCTAATACCAGTATTTACATAGAATACGCTTTTCAGAATACATTTCCTGGATTGTTCAAAAAGAACAATTGTTTTGTGGGGAACTTACGGCACTCATGAGCGACTATTGTGAAATCAAAAGTGAATACAGTTTCTAGTCGGTTATTGTTTGCACAAAAATGGGTGCCCTACCATACCCTATACGATACAAGAATTATCCTCATTCAGATCTTAACTCTATCAATCAATGTACAGTTTTTCTACTAAAATTGTGTGGATATAATATCAGGTCATTTTAAACAATCATCTTTTACTGATTGATTTTAATTAAAATGTTTATTATTCAAGAGAATTTTTGATGCATTTTGATTTTTTTTTTTCATGATTACTTTTGTTAAATTAATTAGGGTTGGTCTTTTTAAATTACTAAAACAATTACTAGGTATTTTCACTAAATCAGGTTTAAACATAAAATATGGGCTTTAATACACATATTCATCAACTCACAAGTTTTTTTTTTAATGCAGAATAATGTTTTTGGTTAGCGACCGTGTAAAATCACGCCAGATGTGACATAGTATGATAGATGCAATTTCTCTAACAACGGAACTAGCTCATCATATTAATACAACGTTGGTTTACAATAAAAGTATGTCCTGTGACCTTCCGATTTTCACGTTATTCACAATCCAACTTATTATTGATTATTTTCAGTTGCTAAGTAACATGTTATGGCAGATCATACAATTTTATTCCTTTCAGATATTCCGAAATGATTTGATTATCCTCCTAAATCCAGCATTATCTTCTTTTATGAAGCTGTGTACCATGGGGAACATGTCAATGTAAATGTACACGTCGATCAAAGTGTTTTACAATCTACTTAATTACGGATTTTCCAAGTTCCTTCGAGGCTTCCCCTACCATACTCCACGTGGGCATTTCCTACCCCTAAAATAAAATGCATATTTATGTCAGAGTTATAACGAGAGAGAGAGCACCCAGAAACGTATACCATACCCGAAACGCCATTTCACCAATACATACTTCATAGGTGCTTGAGGTCATGACAACCCCTCAGAGACCAAGACATACCCAAGTCCTTTGCATTTTTCCAGTAGACATTCTTTCTTATAACATGTTTGTGAATAAATCCAAACTATCTGTCCAAAACATTATCCAAAACAAATATTTATTAAAAAAAAATTAAGAACCAATGTCAGCTTGACATTAAGGGATGCCTTATTTTATTGGTATGTTCGAATATTTGTATATTTTTGTCGTATGTGGCATTTTATGCAGAAAACGGGGGGAAATGCTTGGATCTGACTTTAAGCTTATCCGCCGCAAAATGTGTTCATTATTTTTACTTTTATTTGGACGATCTTGCCAAAATCTTACTTAAAGTTAACCCATTTCGAGATCTTGATATGTCTTGTGGTAAGTAGAGACACTGAGAGAAGGGCAAAAACTGCAAACTCAATTGTACACAAAACCTCCTTTCAACCTTTTACCCCTTTTTGAATGAATCCAGAAGGAAACACAAAAAATCCCATATTTGATCATATTAATCTATTTTGTCATTATTTACGATACCTCTTACAATAATAATGATTTATTTCATTACAGCCAACAGATTAAATGCAAGAATGAATATTTCGGACGCAAGTCGACCAGAGTTTATCATACCGGTATACTTGGAGCTAGAAGAATTGGAGTATGCAGTTGGCGTTGTGTTCTTGACAACACTGGGGATACTTGGAAATATAATAGCTATCTTAAAAATAGTGTGTGATCCTACCTTTCATAAGCCGACATATATTGTTTTGGCTACCTTGATTTTCGCTGATTTTATTTGTTTGATACAGTATATTGTCCATGCTGCAGTTGAAAACGTGAACAGACCTATAGGAAATGAGTACGGGGAATTTTTCATGGCACTGACATATACGACCACGCATGCGTCTGCGGCCCACGTGATTTTGTTTCTAGGGCTTCGATACTTTTACATACGAAATCCAATCAAAGCACGTCTTATACAAACCAGTGCAATCATCAGGTGGTCCATTTCGCTTTGGATATTCAGTGCGGTGTTTGGTGCTCTTTATCATGTCTTTCGGTTTTGCATTCCTAGAATTGACATACAAGTTGTCGTTCTTAGTTTTCGAGGATACTTGTTAATAGTACCAGTGTGCTTCATGGTATTTTTTCATATTCAAAAAGTGCATGAGTTGCACCATGCTATCAACATACCCGGGCTTAATCGTCATATCCGGCGAATGTCGCGCATGCTCTCCGTGATTGTTTTCATTTATATATTATCAGCATTACTATTTCCCATCTGTTTTATACTCAATTACAACAAAGTTTGTAAAGACGAAAAAGAATGTACACACATTTTAATCATTGCTAGAATCATGTGGCTTGTGAATGTTTCCGCCAATCCAATAATTTACTTCATCTACACAAGCAAAGCTCGGGTGTTATTCAGAGCAATATTTAAGAAATTTATTAGAAGACACAGGCATTCCAGAAGGGATTTAATCGGCACACAAGTCCCGCCCTCTCCGGTGATCTCAACGAAATTATAAGTTTTCAGTATATTAATGTACATGTATGTACACGATGAAGCCATTCTACCTCAACTGGTGAAAGGATAATCAAAACCAAAATCCGTATGATGTTTATTCATGAATCTAGGTGTGAGTCGTTTGTTTGTTTGTTTTTTAACTCAGTCGAGCCTTTCAGACCAGACAGGTTATCATCATGATATAAACATTTTCGTACATTTTTATGCAGGGGTACTGTGTAATAAAAATTCGGTTCACGGGCCTCAAATCTCGCCTGCTTTATTTTTGTTTCTAATAAAATATTTGAAATAAAATTTGTGCAATTGAAGTGCTTTTGGCGTTTTCTGTCTTGTCAAAATTGTAACTTGGAATACTCAGGTTACTGCATCGAAAATTTCAAATTTAGCTTAAAATATGTTAGTCTGACATTTACCCGATTAGTTTTGCTTCAATTTTTCTTTTAGAATACATGCATGCAACATATTCAACAAAAAATCAACTCCAGTGCATACACTTTCTCACTGATACATTGTATAATAAGTAGATGCCTTTATTCTTTGTTAACGTTTAGGTCAATTGAGTTCCCGTCCAAATAGCGAGTCCATCGTCCATGTGTCGTTTTTGAATAATCATTTTCTGTCTTTTCCTTGTCTAAAAACTGGATTTATCTTGAAAAATCTGAGCATTTACTTTCTTTAATAGCGAAAAGAAATAAATCCGTATTTTTTTCTCTTTCTTATTACAGACCTTAGTGGTACGAAAAAAATGCAATTAGTATATCGCTATTTTTCACCAGTTAGATTCTACTTTCATTTATGCGTTTCCGCCATCGTAAGGCCCAGTTATTCATGTATTATTGAAGACATCGCTCTTAAATACGGAATACGTTGTACTCTGATTACCCTGTGTCGCACTGATAATTAAAGCAGCAGTGTGGAAATCGCAGTTCCATTTTTCCGCGATTCCACGCTGCTTTTCCGCGACAAGTTATACTTCTTTTCCGCGATTATACTTTTAGATCACTTGAGTCACTCAGGTGACCTATTGCAATCTGTTTCATCTGTACTCGTGCGAAGTCCGTCTTCGTAAACTTTTGAACATTTTCAGCTTCTTCTCATCGCCATTGATCACTGAAATTTAAGAAAAAATGGTAGAGCATCTATGGTTAAAAGGGGACAAATATTGTGAATGTTATAGTCTCTGCCCCTCGGGTTCAGATATGTGGGGCAAATCCCATCAAAATTAAATGAATGCTATTTTCAAAAATCATCTTTCTCTCTACTCCAGGGCATAAAGCAATTAAACAATTGGTATGGTTATATAACATTCAATGAGTCCTTTACCTAGATTGTGAAATTCATGACCCCAAGATCAGGGAGTCGGAAGTTGGGTTCTTTTGATCATATAGAGAAATTGCATAAATTCTTTAAAAAGCTTTTCCTATCCCTCTGTATATTTTAAAAACACTGAAATTAAGTGCATGGTTATGATAAGCAAAGGTGCCTCTTCCATAATTGTGTATATCATGGCCGCAAGGTCAGGGTTGTTGGTGTTAGGGTGGGCTCTATTAATTATCTAGTGAAAATGCATAATTTCTTTGAAATTAAATATTGAAATAACGAACAGTATTCAAGCTCAAAAGTCCATTCAAACAATACAAATCAGTAGCAGAGCAAACACGAACCTCTAAAGCATTATAGGTTGAATCAGGTGCCATGGAGGAGTTAGCATCCTCTGCCAACCGGTCACACCCGGCGTGCGTTCCTTGTCATGATGGGGGGGGGGGGGGGGTCGGACGGACGGACGGAAAAATCCGTAGACAATTCAAGGAATAAAAAAACAATTAGTATGAAAAACGTCAGTCAGCGATTAATTTAATGATAGATTGTATTTGCTTACAAGGTCATGGTATCGACCACAGAACTTGCAAATTGATGACTTTGATTTTGTCTTGAAATTTTTGTTTCATCAACTTGTTTGTCAATAGCTTGCCTCCTTTTCTAAATTGTTCGTTCGCAGAGCATGAAAATCTTCTTCTTTGCTTCTGGGTATTTTGCAGACATACTAAGTCCATGGTTTTTTGATAATAAAAAAAAGATACCTCTTTCATATTTGTGAATTACACCCCTTGGGTCAGGGGTACTGTTGTTAGAATGTTGCTTTATTTATTAATAAGTGAAAATGCATTTTTTCTTTTGAAAATCTTCCTCTCTGCACCTGTGTATTTGGCAAACATACTAAGCACATGGTAATGATAAACAAGAGTGTCTTTCTTTGTGAAATTTATGGCCCTTGGATCAGAGCTTCTAGTGCTAGCGCAGGCTGTATAGATTTTAAAGTGAAAATGCATTATTTCTTTCAAATCTTTTCTGCCCCTGGATGTTTGGCAGACACACTTAGCACAAAGTAATGAAGAGCAATAGTGCCTTTTCGAAATACATTATATCCAAGGTCTCTGAGTCAAGGGTTCTGGAGTTGGGATGGGGCTCTATTGGCCATATAATGAAAATGCATTATTTCTTTGAAAATCTTCTCTGTCCCAGAGTATTTAGCAAAGATACTGAATGCTAAGTGCATGGTTATAATGAGCAAGGGTGCCTCTTCCACAATTATGAATTTCATGGCCCCTGGGTTAGGATGTCTGGGGTTAGGATGGAGCTCTATTGAATATATAGTGAAAAAACATTATTTCTTTGAAAAACTTGTTTGCTCCAGGGTATTGGCAGACATACTATATGCGTGGTTATGATGAGCAAGGGTGCCATTTCGAAAATTGGGATTTCATGACGGCCCTTTTTGGTCAGGATCTCAATTGTTAGGGTGAGGTTTATTGATTATATAGTGAAATAAATCAATGATTTGAATTTCTTATTTGCTCCTGGGTATCAGATACATATAAACTATGTGTGTGGTTATGATAATAAGTGTGCCTCTTCCAAACTGTCTTTCATGGTCCCTGGGTCAGGGGCTCTGATGTTAGGATGAGAGTGTATTGCTGATACATGTATAGTGAAAATGCATTTATTATTTGAAAGTATAGGAGGCAAACAGAGTACAAAGTTGTTATGAGCAAGGGTAATTTTACCAGATTTGTGGAATTCTGGATTTCGGAATTTCTTTTCAGAGTGAGAGATCCATACTGACAAGTACAATCATACTGTAGATTCCAAAATAAAGGAGGTCAAACTGAAAATATTTTTTCAATCTAGTTATCCCCATCTTGTATACACTAAATATTTAAAAATAACATTTCGCCAAAGATGAGGGTAGACCGTTTCAAATTCACTGAAGTACGAGGGCTGTTCAGAAATTATTGAGACATTGTATACATTCTTTCGTCTTTCGGTGATAATTTACGTCTTTCGGTGATAATTGGCATATACGTTTGACAAACAGTAAGAATTAACAAAAGCAAAAAATATTTTACAAATATTTTATTTCTTCCTTTCAGTGATATATTAATAAGTCATTGGTAGGGGTACCCAGCGCAGTCACGAAATCAGATATTGAAAATATGTAACAACAACGTTAAAACTCCAGGTGGACCAATAATAACAGCGAAAATAATTCAAATCATGTATATAATTTTTCAAATTAAATTTTGACTTCAATTTGGGCAAGCTTGTTAGAATTTCGATCAGAAATGCTGGCATTATTAAAAAATTTAAGTGCGGCATAGAAATTTAAACGACGACAAAAAATGGATTTTGACGTCAAGGCGGCGCAGCGCGCATACCTAAAAATTTGTGAAGCGCCATGGAGAACTCTTGTACTGACCAAACGTCCCGTTAAAACAATAACAATGCGACAAAACATGTCTAACGGTTTGTTTTTATAATTGGTATATATTTTTTTCTTACAAATAATTCAACAAGAGTAAAAACAAAAGCTCCGGACGACCATCAATACTTACGGACTAAAAAACGTTGGCCCACGACGCATAATCGCGCGCTACATGTACTGTGTGATGCTAAGTCAGCCTGTATATGACACTTCATGTATATATTACACTTGGGTATAGCAACAGCACACGTTTTATTATATATTTTTTAAAGAATCGTTTAAGAAAAGACACAGTTTGATTTTTTGAATGTTATATGTGAGAATTGAGAAAGAAGACTGAACGCTTCCCGATAGTTTCATACGCGAAAACATCTCCGGCTGACGTGACATTAAAATGACGTAGCATTGCTGCTCCAGGTTGGAAATTATTTAATTATCCTATAAATTAGAAATTTTGCACATTTGTTTTATTTGTTCTTTTTTAAACTGCTGACGAATTTTAAAGAATTTATCTCTGTCCTTTATGGAGTAGAGGTAAATGTCTCAATAATTCCCGAACAGTTCTCGTAACTTTCTTTCAAAATTCATCTAGACTAGTATTTATATTAATAAACCAAGTATTAATTGTGCTTTACATGAATGCTTTAAAATTCAGGTGAGCGTTACAGGTCTGCTGCTTTCTAATATCAGAACTTGATAGTGGTTATCATTTAAACTTAGGAATACTAATTCATATGCAAAAAAATATAATAAAACCAGCATATTGATTAATATTCACTATGTCAACATTTTTCTGTAGTCTGAAATTGATTTGTCGTTTTGATGATTAATTATAAGCATGCGCAATTATAGTCAGATAAAAGAAAGAATAAAAAGGAGAATGTGCAATGATCAATAGAATTCCATCAGTGTTATCAAATAACACTGACGATACCTTTCATCTAATTTCCATAATACCCTCTAGTATTTCAATCCGATGTTTTCACAATGCCTACGCTGAATCGTATCTGCCCATATCCTTGTCTGACGTCAAAACAGATAGAAATGACGTAGGCTGTATAATTTTCAATTTTGATAGTTTCAGTGTATATTCAAATAGTTGCTTATATGCGTTCAGCTTTTCAGAATATGCATTTCTTATCATTAATATTTTCCCTAGTTAAAGTTTTAGTGAATTTTTCATTCTCCCATTCATAAAGGTAGACTTACATGAATTCATCCTTTGTATGTCATTCATTACTTATATAAATAGTATAAATGATCGTTGACTAAAGAAAAGCCTATTCCTCCAGATGAATTGAGGAATAAATGAATTATTTTGAGGTAAAAAAAGAGATTGACAGTTTTGAAAGACCTCATTATGAGAGGTGCAAAATCACACAACATGGACTCAAAAGCATTAAAATACAGGTTTGTGTTTACACTTTTTCAACCCAAATATTACGTCATTTCTTTTTTCTTTCCCGGGTTAAATTCTCAAGGAGGACGCATTATTGATATAATTGAAATTATTCCCTTTCGGTCTCTTACTTGACTTGATTTTCC